GCCAACACATTGTACTATGAAGCATATCTGAGCTTTAGAATGGGGAGCTATACGTCTAACTTTATTTCTCTTGTCATTATTTTCTCTGCATTACAGGATCTTTGTTACAACAAATTTTTAACCTTTGGTTTCCTGTCCAACCCCAATTCTGCCCTACCATTGGCTTCTGTTCAGAGGAAATCGCTTCTTGCCAATCAGAGGATTTCATCACTTTTTTGTGCACAAACTCCAGACTTAAACGGTATTTTTTGCTATAAATGTAGATGTTTAATTCTTTTTCTTGCTTAGAATGTTTAAATTGATTTAGGCTTTGGTCCAACAAACATAGATCAGCGCAGTTCTTTTTAAACTGCAGTCTTTAAGAAATGTGGAGGTGTAAAGAATGTTCTCTTTCCATGTCTGGTAGACCTGAACTTCTAAAACATTTCAGAATACAGCACTATCTGAGACAACGCTATCCATGTCCTCATACAAGTTGCCCATGTACTTTTAAGACATGGAATGCTTTGCGTATTCATTTGAGTAGAGTTCATCCAAAACCAAGCTCTACAGCGATTCAGGAGCGGTCTACATTCAGTTGTCATTTGTGTGCAAGTAGCAGCCTTCCTACAGAGAGAGACTACTTTGTACACATTGGAACTCATTTGAAGAATGATGAAACTGTTGGATGCATGTTTAAAGATTGCACTTTTCAAACCAACATTTATGGCACTTTCCACTCACAAGAATAGGAAACACAACCCACACACTCTGAAACATTTCAAGCCAGGTATAGTTACAAACACCCAAATTCTACAACAAGACACTGATGGTTCTGGAGAGGTTGCAGATAATCAAGATAACCCTGAGGTTCAGGTATATAGTACATGTAGTACATCTTCAGGCTGTAATCCAGACACAACTGAGAACTTACTTGATGCATTTGAGCTAAATTTGGCTGCAGCATTGCTCAAGTTGGAGCATACAGTTGTGGTCAAAAGTGTACATACACTTGTAAAAAATCATAAAGTTATGGCTGTCTTGAGTCTTCAATAAGTTCTACAACTCTTATTTTTCTGTGATAGAGTGATCGGAACACATACATGTTTGTCACAAAAAACAGTCATAAAATTTGGTTCTTTCATAAATTTATTATGGGTCTGCTGAAAATGTCACCAAATCTGCTGGGTCAAAAATATACATACAGCAACAAAATTTGTCAACTTTGGTGATGTAGCGAGTTGTGTCGATCAAATTAGCTTCATGTCATGGCCTCTTCACTTCTTCTAAGTGATTCTGATTGACTACAGCTGTTGACTTCTCATGAGCCCATTTAAATAGGGCTCATTTGACCCAGTGATTAGACTCAGCTACAAAAGCTACAATGGGAAAGTCAAAGGAACTCAGTGTGGATCTGAAAAAGCGAATTATTGACTTGAACAAGTCAGGGAAGTCACTTGGAGCCATTTCAAAGCAGCTACAGGTCCCAAGAGCAACTGTGCAGACAATTATACGCAAGTATAAAGTGCATGGAACAGTTGTGTCACTGCCACGATCAGGAAGAAAACGCAAGCTATCACATGCTGCCGAGAGGAGATTGGTCAGGATGGTCAAGAGTCAACCAAGAATCACCAAGAAGCAGGTCTGCAAGGATTTGGAAGCTGATGGAACACAGGTGTCATTCTCCACAGTCAAGCGTGTTTTACATCGGCATGGACTGAGAGGCTGCCGTGCAAGAAAGAAGCCCTTGCTCCAGAAAAGGCACCTTAAGACTCGGCTGAAGTTTGCTGCTGATCACATGGACAAAGATAAAACCTTCTGGAGGAAAGTTCTCTGGTCAGACGAAACAAAAATTGAGCTGTTTGGCCACAACACCCAGCAATATGTTTGGAGGAGAAAAGGTGAGGCCTTTAATCCCAGGAACACCATGCCTACTGTCAAGCATGGTGGTGGTAGTATTATGCTCTGGGGATGTTTTGCTGCCAGTGGAACTGGTTCTTTGCAGAAAGTAAATGGGATAATGAAGAAGGAGGATTACCTCCAAATTCGGCAGGAAAACTTAAAACCATCAGCCCGAAGGTTGGGTCTTGGGCGCAGTTGGGTGTTCCAACAAGACAATGACCCAAAACACACATCAAAAGTGGTAAAGGAATGGCTAAACCAGGTTAGAATTAAGGTTTTAGAATGGCCTTCCCAAAGTCCTGACTTAAACCCCATTGAGAACATGTGGACAGTGCTAAAGAAACAGGTTCATGCAAGAAAACCATCACATTTAGCTTAACTGCACCAATTCTGTCAAGAAGAGTGGTCAAACATTCGACCTGAAGCTTGCCAGGACCTTGTGGATGGCTACCAAAAGCGCCTAGTTGCCGTGAAAATGGCCAAGGGACATGTAACCAAATACTAATGTTGCTGTATGTATATTTTTGACCCAGCAGATTTGGTGACATTTTCAGCAGACCCATAATAAATTTATGAAAGAACCAAATTTTATGACTGTTTTTTGTGACAAACATGTATGTGTTCCGATCACTCTATCACAGAAAAATAAGAGTTGTAGAACTTATTGAAGACTCAAGACAGCAATAACATTATGATTTTTTACAAGTGTATGTACACTTTTGACCACAACTGTATTTATCATGTCCCAGGATCAAAACTTGATGACTTTCTGGAGGAACTTAACTACTTGTTAAAAGCATCCACATTCCCATTCTCCATTAAGATTCTTGAGAATTTATTTAAAAAACATAGTGTAACAAAAGATGAATCTTTTTTAGCAGAAGTAGCATCTGCTGTCTATGAATCTAATCCTTTGCTGAAAGCTATAGGGGCGAGTGGTGCCTTAAGCACATCTTTTCTTCGCAACCAGTTTTACAAAAACAACTTTAATATAATACAGCCTATTGAGTACACACTTGATGCGAAAGAAAAAAAAAGTTTTCAGTATGTTCCTGTACTGAAATCACTACAGCAGCTCTTTGAAAGAAAAAATGTTGTGGACAATGTATTAGAAAATCACAATGCACAGCAAAGTAAAGTGTCTCTTGAGCAGCATGTGTACAGATCTTCTCAAGATGGTTCACACTTTAAAGATAATATTTTTTTGGCAGGAGGCAAGTTGAGAATTTTGTTAAAACTATACATAGATGAATTTGAGATTTGCAATCCACTGGGAACTTCTCGCAGGAAGCACAAACTTTGTGGCATCTATTGGACTTTAAATAATTTACCTGCGAGCTTACAGTCCTCACTTCACGCAATTTATCTGGCGGTCCTGTGCAAGAGTGATGACTTGAAGAAGTACGGTTATGAACAAATTTTGCATCCTCTTCTTCACGATGTAAAAAGTTTAGAGCAAGATGGACTTTACATTCCATTGCTTGGCAAATGTTTTAAAGGAACAGTCCAGTTTGTTGTGGCGGATAACTTGGGTGCCCACAGTTTATCAGGTTTGAATGAGAGCTTCTCCAGTGGTTATATTTGCAGATTTTGCACTGGAACAAAAGCGGACATTCAGACAAATGATGTGCAGTCAGGTGCGTTCAGTCTCAGGAGAAAAGAACTCCATGCCTTGCATGTGAAAACGGCCTCAGAGAGTGGTGCAAGTTGTTTTGGGGTAAAAAATCATTGCATTATCACTGAAACGCTCACCCACTTTAGCATTCACACAGGTTATCCTCCAGATATCATGCATGATGTTTTCGAAGGCATTGTACCAGTAGAGCTTGCACATTGTTTGGGTGTCCTTGTGAACAAGAAATATTTCGATATTGAAACACTCAACAAAGCCATCTTGCATTTCCCTTATAAGTGGGAAGACAAAAAGAACAAGCCACATGCAATCCCTCTTACATTTTCAGCTAGAAAAACAATCGGTGGGAATGCCCATGAAAACTGGTCCCTTTTAAGACTACTCCCATTTATTATTGGGCATTTAGTTCCTGAAGGTGAACCAGCTTGGGAAGTTCTGATGGACTTAAAAGACATAATGGAGCTTGTTGTTGCTCCATCACATACAGATGAGTCGATAGCCTATCTTGAGGGGAAAATTTCAGGACACAGACAAAAGTTCCAAGAACTTTTCCCTGATGTGCGGCTAATCCCAAAACATCACTAAGTAGAGCACTACCCTCAACTGGTAAGGATGTTTGGTCCTCTTGTGGAGCTATGGACAATGCGCTTTGAGGCAAAGCACAGTTTTTTCAAGCAAGTTGTGCGACACGTCAACTGCTTCAAAAATGTACCCTTCACTCTGGCAAATAAGCATCAACTCATGATGGGATATCACATGAAACTGACCAGCTTTCAGAAATCTGCTCCCGAAGTCACAAATGTCTCTACTCTTCCAGTGGATGTTTTAAAACAAGAAATAGCTCAGGCTATTTACCAGAACTTTCCTGGAACAACAGAAGTTCATCTTGTTAATAGTTTGACAAGTAATGGTGTCAATTTCAGAAAAGGAATGATCGTTGTCCATGGCTCTACAAGTGGCCTCCCAGACTTTGGGGAAATTCTTCAGGTTTACATTGTGAATGGCAAACCATGTTTTATTGTGAAGAGACTTCATGGGTGGTATAGAGAACATTACAGATCCTTTGAGTTGCCAAGTTCAGCCTTTGAAACTCTCTTGATTAGGCTAGAAGAACTGGCTGATTACTACCCTTTAGCAGATTATTTTGTTGGACCGACGCGTATGGTGACACTGAAAAGATTTATCAACTTATAAGATGTGCTAAAAACCAAATGTATGTGTTTTTTTTTTCCATATTGAAACCTGTTCTTGTTGTGACATGTCTTTATTTTACATATTTAGATTGTTGAAAGATGTCTCCACCAGCAAAGTTGCGAGTAATCTTAGGAGAGAACAACTCGCACAAATTGATTCTCCCAGATGGAATTCCAGAATCAGTCAGTGATCTCACAGAGTGTATAAGAAAAGAATGTGGAATAGAAGGAAGCTTCAGACTTCAGTATATGGACACTGACTTCGACAATTAGTTCACCAACTTGGACTCAATTTCAGATGTCCTGGATAAAGGTACTCTTAGAGTAATCTTTAATTCAGAAACACCTCGCCTGCCTGATGGATCTCCACCACCTTTTTATTCGGCGGCTGCAGCCTTGCAGTCCTTAGATGACAGCTCTTCATTTGTATCTGGCAGCTCATTTGACACAAATATCCTGTCTTCTTCTGAATCAACCTCTTCACGGTCCTCCAGTTGGCCCCTGGTTTTCAACATTCCTAAGTTTTCTTATGAAACTGAACTACAGCTTGAAAAAGCCAACACTGCTTTCAGGGAGACTGGAGCCTTGTTGAATCCTGATGTAAAACTTAAATCAGCAATCATGGATGGTTTGATGGAAACCATTGTCAAGTACAAAGTCTACCTCTCTGATGCAGAGTTCAATGAGGTAGCAGAAGCTCTTATAACAGCACACCCTTGCTTGAAAGAGCCAGGTTCCGCCAGTGGGTTTGGTTGTTGGAAGACTAGTTTAAAATATAAACTTGGGAACTACAGATCCAAGCTCAGACGACTTGGATGTCCAGAAGTGACTGTGAATTCTCTGAAGCAAAAACCTGATGATCGGCGCAGTCCTGCCTATGGTGTTAAGAAACCTAAAAAGGCTGAAGTGAATTACTGTCCACCATATCCGGCAGGTGAATCAGCTGACAGTTTGGAACAGATGAGAGTAAAACTCCTATCTGAAGTAAAGATCAGAAATAATGAAGACAAAGTAGCTGCCATGATGGACAAAACATTTGCAGTAAGACGTCTTGAGGTGGTCCAAGATGCACCCATGGTAGCGGATTTCAAAGCAAGGTGGCCAGGTCTCTTTAATGTGAGGGAGGTAAGTAGATGTAATGAGAAAACTTTTTTTTACTTTCTTAAAAACAGGTATGCCCATCATTATTCTCTTTTTTCCCTGTTCAATTTTAGGTGAAAGCAGAATTCAAGAGGATAACCACAGTTGAGCTTCAATCCAAGTTCTTTTCGCAACTTGATGCACACTCTGAAAACTTGATGAAAGTGTTTGCCAGAAAAGGAGGAGTCCTCTGGAAAAAGATAAAGGCAGTGATGCTTCCAATGACTCGGGTAAGATAACAAGTCAGGAAATCATGTACAAGTCTTTAGAACTTGTTTAGAGTTTAGAAGATGATAAAAAGTTGTTATAATGTGACTTAGTGTCAATATATTTAAGCTAAGCAAAGAGAAAAGATACTTTTACTGTTACTAATTGAAAACTCCCCAAGTTGAAAGTAATTAAATTTTAATTTTGTAATTTTATTTATTTGTATTTTAAGTTTCTTGTTATTTGAATTACTATTGTGAATTTATCCTTTTCTTTAATTGGAGGGTATGAAAAATTATATACAAGACAATTACTTAAATTCAAAATAGATGTTGGGTGGCCGATGTTCAATACGCAGTTTTAAGGCTGATATCGGTAGGGGGCCGATTATATTGTGCATTCCTAATATATAATTATGTGTGTACATATGTATGTGTGTGTGTGTATATATATATATATATATATATATATATATATATATATACCGTATTTTCACGACCATAAGGCGCACCGTACTAAAAGGCGCAGTCTCAGTTATGTGTGCCATTTCTGTATTTAACACACACATAAGGCGCACCGGACTATAGGGCGCATTTTTTATATACCGGTACATGTCCTCTACTACCTTTAAATACCTCTACTGCGTATTGAAAAATACAGCGGGAGCAAAACTGAGTATGATGTGCTTTATTCATGTATTTATTACAAGGTATTATTCAAACCTGGGAGCTGGCCATGAGACAGACACATCGCTGATGACAGAGCGCTGTGATCACTCCTCTGAAACAGTTTATTGACGCAGAAATTAAGTTAAAATCCTGAAACCTGCCGACAGAATATGTTCGCTTTTATTACCGGTAACCTGGTGCCGGCCGTTTAGATTATTTAGATGAAAAAAACACCTGCCAGCCGCCGCGGTATACCTGGAGGAGACCCAGAGGCTGCTGTTGAATTAAGTTTTCAGGTAGAAAAATAGAGCGGGAGCAAAACTGAGTATGATTGTGCTTTATTCAAGTATTTATTACAAAGTATTATTTAAACCCATCAAAGTCATCATCCTCTGCTTCTGAATTAAACAGCTGCGCTAAATCAGACTTGCCAATTTCCCTTTCTTCGCTGTCAGAGTCACTTTCTGTGCTGGGCTGCTCCTCGGAAATGATGACGGCTTTCGCGAAAGCTCGAACAACAGTGCCAGCAGACACGTTAGTCCATCTACAATCCATCCGCAAACGGTGGCGTAACTTGCCCGGCGCTGCCTTCCACTTATCCTGAAACTGTGGTCTCAGTCGGTCATCCATCGCTCCCACGCCGCTCGCAGCCTTACTTTGAACGGCCGGTTCACACCGATGTCGAGCGGTTGAAGTTCCTTTGTCAGACCCCCGGGATAACGGCGAGCACAGCATTCATTTGTTTCACCTTTTTTTCACATCGGCTGTGAGATGGGCACGCATGGAGTTATATTAACAGCGATGGTGATGCGTGGAAAAAAACACCTGGTCTCCTCACATACACCTGCCTCAGCCACGCTTTCATCATCTCCTCATCCATCCAGCCTTTATCATTTGCCTTAATATCATATGTCATCAGAGCGATGTGTCTGTCTCACGGCCAGCTCCCAGGTTTGATTAATACGTTTTAATATGTTTTTAAGTGGGAAAATCCACCTGAAAACTGGATAATAAAAGCAAACATATTCTGTCGGCAGGTTAAGTTAATTTAGGCGTCAATAAACTGTTTCAGAGGAGCGATCACAGCGCTGTGTATATGTGTATCATCAGCGATGTCTGTCTCGCTGTCAGCTCCCAGATCAGCTTCTCTGATTGGTTGATGCAGCGCGTCCAGCAGCAAAACTTCAATTTTTTCATCTGAAGCAGCAGCAGCGCGTTGGCGGCGCGTCAAGCGCTTCAGATGCTTAAACGCTCCCGATGAGCAGCCTTCCATAAAACGCGCTGCGGGACCTTTTGCTGTGCCTTGACGCACGTCAACCATTGACTTTGCATGTAAACTTACTGCTCACTGCTTCTGCTGCACCTGCTGCGTCCGGTTCACACCGATGTCAAGCGGTAGCATAACAGCGAACACAGCATTCATTTGTTTCACTATGTTTTTCACATCAGCTGTGAGATTGGCACGCATGGAGTCACAGATTAAAGGAATAGTACACCCAAAACATGATTAGCCTTCATTTTCTACTCACCCCATGCTGAACAACACTCTGAAGTACTTTTTTGATATCTCAAATGCATCCGGAGATCTGGGAGGCTTCTTGCTGTCTGCTGACATTCAAATAATGGAGGTCTATGTACTGCTCGTCCAATGTATTCCAAGTGTCCTGAGTGGGTAGCATCCAGAATTTACTCGAAACGAAGTCATTTAGAATGTTTTTAGAGCATAAACAGTAGTGTATAGGATTTCCTGAAAGCGCGCACATGCGCGTTCACGACGCTACGGAAGCCGGCAGACCAAACCAGATGAAAGTGCGCATTCAGCGTCTGCTCTACCAATAATGCAAGCGTAGAAGAAGAAATGTGCTGTTTACCTGTGCAAAGAAAGAAACAACGAAAGAAAAATGTCTGAGGACTTCAGTGTTGAAGAAGAGCATGAGTTCTTTGCCGAGCTGAATGCGCTGGTTTGGTCTGCCGGCTTCCGTAGCGTCATGAACGCGCATGTGCGCGCTTTCAGGAAATCCTATACACTACTGTTTATGCTCTAAAAACATTCTAAATGACTTCGTTTCGAGTAAATTCTGGACGCTACCCACTCAGGACACTTGGAATACATTGGACGAGCAGTATGGAGGAATATTGACATGTTTTTTGTGGACTTTTATGGACCTTTCTGCCTCGGGCACCATAGACCTCCATTATCTGAATGTCAGCAGACAGCAAGAAGCCTCCCAGATCTCCAGATGCATTTGAGATATCAAAAAAGTACTCCAGAGTGTTGTTCAGCATGGGGGTGTAGGCCTGGGCGATATGGAAAAAAAAACTATATCACGATATGGATTATTTTATATCACGATAACGATATATATCACGATATACCACAACTGATGTTGCATTTTATGTTATAGTTGACATAGGATAGCCATAAAACACAGATGCTGTTTTCCTATATCTATAAATAATTGTGTCAGTCACGTGACTAGAATCAGCTGACGAGGCGACGTAGGGAAAACCCACAGACATACGTTCTTAGGTGTATGGAGATAACTCTAATGGGAAATTTGGAATAACATGCGTATGCTGTAAAAGCACACAGTTCATTGGTGTAAGCATATTAGTAAAACCAATAATAGTAAAACTAGCGAACGAACAAAAGTGCATAGCAATGTCAGGCTCATACCTTGGGCGAGCATCACTCCGGTGTGGTCCTCAGGAAAGTACACGGTCTGTAGACACCGAGCGCGGAGGGTCCAGTACTTGATGAAATGGATGGTGAGACTCATATAAGGCTGTGTTGCTCTACTCATCCACATGTCCGTAGTCAACGCATAATGCGTCGCACCACTGCGTACCTCTCTCTCCACTTCAGCCCGACAACTAGCATATAAGCCAGAAGAAATTTCGCGGGCTCTCTCCGTCAGTAATGTCGCAAACGTATGGTGCAAAGCCGCGTGACGTAAAGCGGTGTAGTGTCGCAAAACCACGTTCTGTACACATTATCTTTTTATTCTCTTTTTTTTTCGTTATATACACTTAGAGTTTGCATAGCAAAAAGGCAAAATGTTATATTAACAAATTTGTTAAGGACTACAAGGTATGTTGACCAGCCATCAGACAACACATTCATCTCTCATCCTAACTTTTGTGGTTTATTTTGCTCAGGCCAAGAGAAAAATTACTGACCGCAACATAAAACGTTATTTTAAGTAAACTGTACAATATTCCACATTTTGCAGTTGGTTCCAGTGTTCATGATTCCCATGTTGTTCTTTTGTTGGACCGCATGAGTAAAACTTAATTGCACTCAACACACTCTTGGGTGCTCTCTAAAGGAATTCTTCTCATCTCCTTCCTGTACAACAGGGACCCCAAACTCCAGTCCTCAAGGCCACTGTCCTGCATACTTTTGAAGGTTTCCTGCTGCAACACACCTGACTCAAATTTTGTAATTGGCAGACTTGTGCAGAGCTTGTCAGATATCCATTTAATTTGAATATGGTGTGTCTCAGCAGGAAAACATCTAATACATGTGGGATAGTAGGCCTTGAGGACCAGGGTTGGAGATCACTGTTGTGCTGCATCTCTGTTGATTTTCTAGTCCAGGCTGCTGTCCAGGACCTCTACCTCCTAATAAAGTATCCTGATGTGCAGTGTGCAGGTTTCCACCCTGAAGTCATTAACCATCTCTTTTGTCTTGTTCACGTTCAGAACCATGATTCCTACATAACATTAAGATATCAAAGAATTGTTTCAGAAATCCTACTGATAAAGTCTGGTTTTATTTATTTATTTACTTATTTTTGTTTAATATTTTTAACCTTTTCAATTGTTCTCCCACAGAGCGATGATGAGTGCATTGAAAGAGACCTGGCAGAAACAGTCTTTGGCATCTATGTGATTCGACACAATGTTGCAGACCCTGATGATGACCCTGAGGATATTGGAATTGTTTTGGAGGGGGTAGAGGTACTGAGTGGTTTGAGAAATGTTCCATTCGCTATGGCAATGTTTCTCGGACTTGTGTATGCTCTGAACATTAGTTACCCTCCAGAATTAAAATATACATTTGAAGCTCTGCAGAAAATCATTATGGAGATGCAAGGAAACAGGTTGTCGGCCAAAGTACAAACGCTCAAGACACTGCTGGCACGTTGATCACTGTAAAAAGTACATCGTAATGGCTGCCTAATGTACTTTTTTTTTTTTCCCCCTAAATGTTGAAATTTCATGTTGTACTTGAAAGCAGTAGTCAAGCCTGGATATGGGAGAATTCTCGTAGTCTCACCAGTTTGTCAAAGATTTCACATTACATTTTTGAATTTTATTGCAGTTTTGTCTCTCAAAACCGTTTAGTGTGCTGACTAGATTTAAGAGAAACACATGAATAGCAGTGTAAAATACTTAAGACTGGATATCCATCCCAAGAC